ATTCTTTTCCGGGATGGAAAAGAACCAAAATTTTAATTCTTTTCCCTTCCCGGAAAACATTTGTGGATACCCTGTATTTTCGGTGTAAGTGACAGTATTGCACTAAATAAATTACTTACCAGTTAGCTTACTACCTAGTAGGCTATCCAATCAATCCGGCTGAAATTGACCATCTTGCGCCCGTAATACTAACCAGTTGACGCCTTTACTTTTAATATCTGCGAGGTTGACCAGTTAGCACCTACAAGATCAACCAGCGCCCGCAAGATCAATATAAATTTAACGCGATTTATTATAGAAATTATAGTATTAATATTAAGAGATTAATTATGAAAATAGATACTAAGATATAACAGAAGATAGTGAGCGGAGTGTAGAAATATATAATCAACCCTTCCAGTGATCGTGGGGATTTTGTGCAACAGATAAGGTATGAGCATTGGATAAATCCCGCAAAAGCTGTAAGAGCTCGTAACGGACTGATTAGGATAGGCGCTATGGAGCTAACTATGATTGGCTGAGCGGGAAATAAAGGTATTTAATTGGTTAGAGCTTGGATGCCTTAGGTGTCTAAGAATTCTTTTCCATCCCGTCCAAAACTCGATTCCGCGTTTTCCATCCCGAATGTCACGGCGCAAGTCATACGTGGTGACTCAAGACGATTCACGGTCGAATCGACCCCGTGTCGCCTTAGGGTAACAACCCCAAGGGCCCTATGTGGGGATATGGGGACTCGGTACGCGGAACCTCCATGTATATATTGTGGGAACTAGTGGAGCCTACCAGACCCCAAGATTCAGTCTTTGAAATCAGACCCCATAGACTTGGATTCTGACCTGCGATACAGACCCCCTAACACCGAAAAAAATAGATTTCCATGTATTTGAGTTCCCTAATACACGCACCTTTTGTGCCGTCATTTCATACATCATGTGAAATCATTACAAAGCCAGGCGCGTGCTATTAATAGGAACGGTTATGCGAATAGTCAAACAATGTTAAAAAGGGGTAGAATCGAATAGAATCCTTATGTCATATGAGGTAAGCCGAGTCTGATACAAAACGAATACGATTAGACTAGCACCTCATCAGATAAGTCAATCGGACCCACTCTAGCTATCATCTTTGAGGGACAGTGTCGATAAATGACCCATTGAATCGTTTCACTAGTGCAGGCGCGACCCCGCTTAGCGGCTTACATCAAGTGAAGCGCATAAGAGGAGTGTATAGGTGGTATCGACAATCGGCGAAGCTGACCTCGATAATAGCCAAGAGCGCGCTAAGCATTTTTGGTAGCCGAGTGTCGATGTCAGGTTCTTAATTAGCAGGGCCTCCGATTGTCGAACTCAGCTGTACCCTGGCATAAGAGCTGAGAAGACTAATGATATTGGGTGCCAATGTAGCGCCCTGGACTTTATCCATACCTTACAATAATTACATATTTGGAAAAGAGAAGCATGATAAAATGAAAATGCACGATCCCTCCATTCATCGAAAGTATGCAAACCTGCATAAATATAGAGACCACTAAACTTGTGCTCTTCCATGTTCCCGGATATGGTCCCCCAAAAAACTGAGGAGACTTACCACCGGCATAGTAGGCTAACTCCAATCAAGTTTTCCGGTCTTCTCTCTTCCTTATTGGAGAAGGAACAGTAAAATAACGATATGAGTTTTTTTTCTTCTCTATTTGCATATATGAGCACCATTATTAAGTCTTACTCTTGTTGGAGTGTTTCGAGAAAGTAGCTTCTGCTGTGTATTTAAACCCACGCCTTCAAAACAAAACAATTCGAGAAGCACTGCGTGTGGAACGGCGGACAAGTCGCAAATCTGTAAATCACGAGCAGGGTCATTTGCAAGTGGTGTGACATTGAAATTTGAATGCTGATATTGACCAAAACGCCACAATATGTTCTATAGCGCAATTTCTCAATACGGAGTGGGCTGAGAACAAGAACAATTCATAAGAAAACAAAGGGTTACTACCCGAAGCCTTCGCCACATAAGCAAGCTAGCAGCCAAAGGTATACGTCAAGGAAGTACAAGGAGTAAAATTGGCTGAGTGTTTGGTACGGCAAAAATCCGCTCGGAATCAAGATTTACACAAGGCATCGATCAGCCTTGTGCGAGGTGAGTCTGATATTTCGACCAAGGTTTCTGCAGCAGATTCAAGACACAGAAATCGTCGACGCCGAGACTATTCAGAGCACAAAATGCCTGGCAGAAGACCGGGATAGGTGAAAACGATGAATATGGTCGTGCGTGAGGGCCAGATAAACCAGGAAGCGGCCCAGCGTGTTTGAGTATATAGACAGGACGTCGGACGCTACCTACTCACACCGTGATCAAGCCGACTATAACAGCTACATTGATGTGTTTTGTGTCTTCACCGATATTGTACCCGAGGCTGTTCTCGATTTGAGTTTCTGTTCCCGATACCATGTTCCGGTCAATTGGTCGTGGTGAAGATGGTCTCTGTAACGAGTTTTGTGAACCATTCAACTGCTCAAAGGCCTCTCTGAAAAGTTTCTTACCATTCGGTAGTGATTTATCTGGCTCACTAAGAATCGAAAGTTATCGACCTGATGCCGGATCGTTTCTACTTGACGTCGAATCTCGTCCTGTGTGGCAGCGAGTCGCTACAGTAGTTCTATGTGACTTTTCTTACGACCAAGAAATCTCTTGGGAGCGTTCCTATTGGCCTGTCGTCTTTTGACTTGCGTAGAAGACGCTGATTCCAGATCTAATGAGCATGTAATCATTGCTTGCGTCTCTGGCTCGCCACTCGTGAAGTTGCGATGAGGTAGCCCTGTTGCAGACATTGCTCGTATCGGCTCAGGTGTTGCGTAATTCGATGATGCCGATGCAGACGTTGTCGCAGCATAAGAAGATATTGGAACACGTGCGTTCACAGGGGAAGTAATATCACTAGAATGGTTGACCTTTGACTGCGGCGTTAATGGCCTCGTTCTGAGAGAATGAGGATGGCCCCGTGGGGACGTACCGGTGCTCATGTGTCCTGAGAGAACGTTAGATGGTGAATTGAGTGAGCGTTCAGTCAAGGGTTTCAGTACTGGTAATAAGGCGGAGTCCGCGAGAGATGGTAAGGGGGACTGCTGCCGACCAAATTTCACTAAGGGCTCTGGGGAAAGAGATAAAGATTCAGTTGTCTTCGCGTAAACGAATACAGTCATCTTCATTGGGGAAGAATAGTTCAAAGCCGGTGATTCCGAAAATCCACTGACATGTTCCAGTAACATAGGCAACAAGGGCTGGGATGTTAGCAACATAGAAAACCGAGGTGCGGCAGACGAGCCTTATCTGGGTTTGATGGAAGGCCTGGTGGAGGTAGAAGTCATGCTAGCTTGGGATGCTTCCCCAAGGCCAATGGGCTTTTCCTGAGGGGCCATGCCTCGTGCCGGTGGGTCCAGAGTCATATGCAAGTCAGCGTTCCATGACGAGGAGACGTCCACCAGAGGCTCAACTGACCCGTAAGGATGCCACCGTTAAAGTATTGGCCGCGGAGGTGGTCGGTGAGCCGAATGAGGAGGGCTCGAACATGTCCCTTTTGCTAGGCTCCGATTACGAAGGGGCGAGCGACCTCCAAGCGATAACAAACGATCGTTAGGAAACATTTCTCCGACGGTGAATATGAGGCAGATCCCCAAGCATGCCCTGAGCACAGGATGAGTGGCTACCACCTTGATCTGCTCCATCTGCCCGTTCATCCATCCATCCTCCCAGTTCTCACGCCTCCCCCGGGACAAATCCCATACACGCCAACAGTGCCATTCTCCTACAGCAGTATTTTTACTAGAATGCTTCAGACCAAGTTGACTCTGAATGTAAGTTAGTCGCTTTGGCTCTTCCACTCGCCTATATTGCTTATAGAGCAGCTGTGATAGTGAGGCGAATAATCCCAACAATCCCCTCTAAATGTCGGATGATGAGGGGTGTTCTTTCCCGAATTAGCCTGCGAGGTATCTAATCCTCTTCCAGATTTTACATGCACTTTTTTTCTTGTGCAAAGCCCAATCATCGCTCTCTCACGATCAGATCGTCAACCTCTACGAAAGAGTCGGAACGATTACCGATTGCCTCGTCAGCTACGATATCAACGACAGCGACTCTTTACTGCAGCCACCTGGTGCCAGATTTAGTGATACAGGTGGCACAAATGCTAGCTCGTTTCATCCCGTTTCATCGGTAATGTCCACTATATCCCATGCACTGAAGTTGTTTTTTCTAACATTTCTCAATTTTCTAGATTCTTCCCCGGTAACTTTGGACAAAGGAGCACGGGATCATCATAAGTCAACCCCATTTCCCACCCCCGACTCGGATCGATTCCACTCCCCTGCACAGTCAAGCACGAGAAACCTGCTGAGTGTATGACCCTTGCCATTTGATGAGGAAGTTCAAGGGCACCGCGCCCCAGGCGCCTTCAACGAGCACAATCCTCCGCAGGTCGAGAAAACCCGCGTAATACCAACAACACATGTCTCATCCGGATGTGATCAAAATGACTTTGACGCCGCCCCTCGAGGAATTGACAAGATAGAATCATCAGACCAATCGCCCATGTTCGCTCAGGGTCCTCCGATTGTACGGACGAACCCGAATCCTCTACACGTCCTTCAGTTGGAGGAATAGAACAATCACCAGAAAGGGTAGATCCCGACGAAGAAGATCCCACGACCAGCCAACCAAAGACGCAGATCCCCGACCGCGACCGTGTTGAAGAAAGGGATCACGATACACCACATGGGGTTCCACCTCATGATAATTCAGTTGGCGACATTTAGGAGGGTTTTCATGAGATGGAAACAACAGATCCCGAGGAAGATGCCCATTGAGATAACCCAGATACGCCTTGTTATGACAACTACACCCCAGTTACAGAGATTTCCATAAGGGGTCCGAGATCGGGTCCAGGTGCTTCATATTCCATCGTCGAAACTAGTCAGCACGATTTACCAACGACTCCAGTGCCAGCGATGGAAAGAGTGGACGCAGGTGATGGGACGCCAGGCGAAAAATATTTTACTGGTCAAACTTCCAGGAATTGCCAAGGCGAACAATATTCCTCGAAATATCAGCCAACTGTTGTTGATGGCCTCCATGAAATCGACGATAATGATGCTGATGATTCTTTCGCCAATGATGATCTCGGGGATTCAGACGTCGAGGCCGTCTTGGACGACGCACGCAGATTCCTGGGGGACATTTCTGCCGGTCATGAGAGCCACCCCAGTGGGGCAGCGAATACGGAGTTAGACCCAAATGCTTCAGTCCCAGCCTCCTGCCTAGCTGACGATGATGATCGGCATGCGCTGCCCATCAAGGAACAAATAGATATATCGGAGGCTTTTTCGGAGAAGGGGAGCCACGAATTGCGTCGTAAGCGGAGACTTTCATCGACTGTTGGTCCCCAGTCACCTCCTACCATCCAGGAATCTCAGGGCCCGCCTTCACAATGGCGTGAGCCAAATGGCATCAGTCCCTCCCAACCTAGATAGAGATCGGTGGAAAGGTCGCTTCCCTCACCAAAGTCACTTATCTACCCTTCTGCCAGACCAAAAGGACGAAATTGAAAGGAAAAGCAGCTGAGTTCTGAAGTCTGATTTGACTGAATTTAGGGAGAAGCACACCAAGCTATAGAAGTCGACCGGATTCTGGTCTTCTCCGTTGCTCGATCCGTCCAAGTTTCCCAGTATACCTGGTGGTCGAAAGGGTCATGAGATTTGGCGGTATATAGAGGTGATGCAGGCAGAGGATGAGACATATTATCTCAAAGCTCGGCTTGCAGATATAATGCTGTATTTGGAGTACGTCGAAGAATTCGATAAACAAAAGAAAGCCGGGCATCCCGGCCAGACTGCGAAAACCCGAGCGACGATTATTTTCCGTGGCACGGAAGCTTTTCCCAGAGCGAAAGTGGACAAGACCCGAATGTCTTTCCATGAACATAATGTCGTCGGGGAGCGGTGGTGGTGGTCTGGGTCCTACCTAGGTCGTTGGTTCATTCTCCTGTGCAGCGAAGAAACAGGGAGGAAAATGTTGGTTTCTCAGAGTGCCCGGTTGCGCTAATTCCGCTGACGAGTCTGCAGACTAAGCAAGTCTTTTAGGTTGGATGCATTTATTTTGTATAATCTATACAACTGCAGGAGCACCATAGCCTGTTGCAGCAAGTTCAACGGGGTTGTGGACGGGTTCTTGACTGACGGCCAATTCCCCAAACAGATCAGCAACAAAGAAGTCCAGCAGTGGATCAAAGATGCAAAAGTTATCAGTCAGGAGACCGTACCTGCCATTGGCTGGCAGGCCCAGAGCACTAATAGGGTGGCGAGCAAAGCCTCTGTTTTTCTCTCTGCTCGTCAAGGCAAATGATCCTGATATCGTTTTCTACGGCGTTGGGCGTAGAATGTTATAATTTAAACAGCAATTAAGGGTGCGTTATATATTAATTTAGAGACTTCTTATGAGCGTGTATATCTGAAGCAGTTGATCTAAACGGGCGCTTGAGGGCGTGGGTGAGCGAAACCTCCACCTCGTATGCGGGCACAGGAACCTGGAAATTTCTGATTGTGGTGGGAGCTCCCTTAAGAGGACAGGCGCAAGGTAGCCTAGGCTAATTGTGCGGGTGAAGAAGCGCCAGGCGAATAGTGTACGAGCGAAAACGCAACGAAACAGGCGCACGTGACACACACAATTCATTAACGCCCGGCGACTAAGCCGAAAGGGCAACTATCGCTGATCTATCAATGCAGGTCCTAATATACATATTCCGTGTCTCTTTCGAGCCCATACATGGATGCTTTCGGTATATTTCCTCTCAGCTGTCCATACCATACGAAAAATAGGTGTACAGTGCCGCTGAAAATCAGCTTCACGTTGTTCTTCCCTTCGATTGTTTCTCGAACTATATTCTGAAACATGCTAGAACCCCGTTGACGACAGAGCGGCCCGATCCATATGAAGCCTAGTCGTTGTACTTAATCTTATCAAGATTGTAGTTGCCTGATTCATTGGTCGATGTGACAGGATGGGCAGAAGAAGCGACGTTGACGACTCGAGAAGAGAATCCAGGGCTAGCGCTGGCGAGAAGAGCTGACTTCAAGAGCTCAAAGAGTAGGAAGTGGGCAAGGTGGTCGACTCCAAACTGCATTTCAAAGCCGTCCTGAGCGTGCTCTAACTTTTGCAGAGCCATGATGCCGGCGTTGTTGACTAGGATGTTGACTTGGCCGTTCGATTTTTGGAGAATGGCTTTCGTGGCAGCACGCACGCTGCTCAGGGAAGTGTTGTCTATCTCAATCATCAAGAATGGGTGGGCATCCCCGGTAATCGCCTGCTGTGTCCTTTTAGGTTGACATAGACGTGTGTAGGGACGGCATGTCTCATTAAAATCGAGAGCTAGGTTATTAAAATATATCACGGATTCTCTTCATGATCATCGAAAGCGAAATGGAAGAGGACCGATGTCTTCTCCATCTCAGTGCTTGAATGCTCCATCGAACAATCCTTAATGCTCTGGATGACAGACCTGCATCGTTCAAGTTCATCCTCATCTGAAACCCAGTCAAGGGCGTCTGTCCCAATTAGATCCCTCATCTCGTTCAGTTCCTGTAGTTTCTCTTGTTCTTGGCGATGTTCTTCCGAGCATTTCTGCATCTCTTCCTCACAAAAATGAACTGGGCACTCAACAGATCTCGTCTGTGCTTCTTCATCCAGGGACATAGGCCAATTTTTGAGGACCCGGGACATGGCATACTTCAACGAGACGGAGTCTCCTTCCCAGGGAGCCTGTGCATGATGAAAAAGCTTCGCTCAAAGCATACCGTTCTCGGTTCTGATGGCGTCAAAACGATCCGGCAAGGACTTCATGGTCAACGCAGAATAATAAAAGTGAAAAATCCGTCTCCACATCGTCTCTTGAACAGTCTCTTGTTCTTCATGACTAAGTTGATCAAAACTTTCAGGCAACTTGACCTCTCGCTTAGATAATGTCTCGGACAATGGATCGCCCCAATTTTGAAAATGATGGGGGATTCCAGCGCACAGACAGAGAGGCAGAATAACTGCATGTTGCCAGTCAATGATACCTACCACGTCGCTGGAGGTATTTACTAGGATACTATTAGGTGAAAACTCCGGATGGCGAAGTGTTGGGCGAGACATGCGGTGGTCGAATGGGACGTCGACGTAAGGCGCTGACTTCAAATAATTGGTAAGGAGATGTTGGTACTGAATAGGTGAGAGGTTTGGAACTGGTGTATTTCTCGCAGGTATCTTTCGACGTGTAGGCGTGGTTTGCCAAATCGTTCGCAGAATTCTAACTCGCGTTTGGCGGGTGCTTCAAAACATGCAGAAAAGGTATTCCCTCGTTCGAAGCCAATATTTGCAGAGAAAAGGCACGGATAGCGACTCACATAGACCGTGGTAAACCTCCAGCGAGGCCCGTTCCTGGTACCACCATTCATGTTGTGCAGTTGGGCCAACGACAATGTCGTCTAAGACTGGGATAACGTGTTGTGAGCTGTCAAGATCACGGCGGTGATAAAGACTTCCGCTTGCTGGGAAGTGGGGGCTCATGAACCGTCTCTTAAGATCAACAATATGTCTCATTATTTTGGCCCGAGTTTTGGTATCCATGGAGAACCACCGGTCGCTCAAGGGTGTTCAAGTCTTTCAAGTAGAATGTATTCAATTCCAGCGGGATTTGTCTGATCTGGAGAATACGCAAGGACCTTAGGGACGGGGACCCCACGAGCAAGCAGTAGTGCGAGTGTGGCAGCCTCACAGGCTACTGCGTAATGTTTTGGAACAGTCGTCTTGTAAGGCAGTCTTGCAAGAATTGCGTACAGTAGATTTCGAAATCAGTTGAACCTCTTAACTCTTGCAACTTCATTGCCGGAAAACTATTTTCGATGCCGGCAAGCACTGATTGGATAAAGGCCTTTGGGCCCTATTTCAGACCGCTTTCTATAAAAAGTCAGTGTACTTTACATTACTGTACGATGGGACCTGGGAGTGATGTATTTTACACGAAACTGCCATACACACGATACCTCTGGGGCGGTGGGTCTCATAAATTGGGTTTTGGTAGCTGCTTTACTGTACAACAGCGAAATTGTACTGACGTCGAAGTTGCAGTGACGACAAAAGTTTGAATATCCCCTCGGAACCACTCCTAGACCGCCTAGTGTAGTAACATACCACTTCCAAATCTCGGTCCTAGGAACACGCAGAGAAGTACATTATCACGAGTTATCCGATAGGCAGAGCATTTTTTTAACTCAAGTTACGTTCTGAGGGTGTTTCGATATCATGAGGTGCTTAGGGATGATTTACGACCGGTAGAATATTATGTATTCAGCTAATGCGTGTCCCTGCGTGTCCAAACTTTTACGTAGTCAATGTGTTAGAGCTTGGAAACGAACATGATAGCTGCTAACTCGTATAGCACCTGCACTTATTTAGATCCTCTGGTCTCAAATCCTCGGACGATAATCCGGAATTTAGGATACTTCGGTCACACAACTGTGTCTAGATGCAAACTTAAGCCTTTCGCCGGCTTATAGACTCGGAGCGGTCTCAAATGAGTTGTCCTAATATAGCAAACCCAGGTTGCACGAGGAAAAGAGTGAGAAGACTCTACTGTCTAGGATAATTTAGCTTTCTATATACGAAATCCAAGTACTGCAGGCTCACAAAGGGTTAAGTATCTATAGATTCGAACCAGGAAATGTGACACAGAATATTCTCATCCAGGAGTAAGCCTCGCCACAATGTCGTTCCAGATAATCGGCCCATCAAGCTAGTTACAAGTCCCGACCGAATGTTGACTAACCAGATATATGCTTGAGCTCCAGCGAATCATGGTTTCATTCTACCGGTAGAGGCTGGGACCCTACCTTGTCATCAGTTGGGCTGTGATAGAACTGATTCGATGTACAACGTACAGATCTCGAGGTAGGAGTGGCGAATTTCAAGGGATGGCATGTTAATGTGGCTAAAGAATATACCAAAGGATAACCACTATGGGTACAAAAGCCACAACAATACCGAAAACAACCCATCCTATGACCTCCACGTATGCAACCAATACAAGGGCAAGACAAATAATAGCCGCCAACAAAACGATCTCAAGAACAAAACAGGCAATTTCTCCTAGAATGGAAACTTTCGGATCATATTCTGAGCGGAAAGCGAATATAGCCGAGCAAGCAAAGGCCAGGCCAAGATCAAGCATGAAAAACAGCCAACTGACTGCAAGCACTTGCCGCACTTTGTCTTCGTGAAAGAATGGGTCGGTGTTAATATCTGCAGGATCAGAAAACTTTGACAAAATGATTGTGAATGTTATTGAGCCACCGAAAATGCAAACCTGCACTGTTAGTGTTATTAACTTCTCAAGCCACTCCATTAATTTTTCGTTACATATTGCTTCTGTTGCTAATTTCTTTTGCAGAAGAAATAAAACTCTACCATTCTGTAACAGCGGACTATGATCTCTACATTTACGGTCTAACCTCTGAAGCGCCGGAGGCTAATGGCGGGACATCTACACTCTCTAAAATCAATATACGTTTTAAAAGTCAATTCAACAGACGACTTTTAACCTTAGAAATGGGCCCCGCTGCACTTTTTTTCATCGATTGACCTCCTCCACATATATAGCTATATAGCTGTTGCCTCAAGGGCGGGAAGAAGAGTTACAGGCTGAGATTGGGTTTCCTACCGTATGACAAAGAAATCAATCGAGCTGTGATTTTGAGAATGTTGTGCGCATTTCATATCGCATAATGAGATGAGCCTAAGAATGGTACGGATGTTGAAAGTCTATATAAGGAGCCATAGTACCATTAAAAACCCTGATATCTCCAAGTAGAAACGTTCCTTCATCTATCTTCTGCCATGCCGAGCTCTCGCTACCACCTCAGAAATTTGGGACCATCACCTCCTCCTACAGCCCAAAGATCGAAGAGAAATACGCCATGCTCTGATATCACTGTACAAAGTGATGGAGACGAAACAATGTCAATAATTTCGCTTCGAGGACTTCGCGAACTATCAAATACCCAAATCTTTCATGCTCTGAAAGACTTGCAAAGGTTTACGATAGCGTGTGGCGAGGCGACCAAGATCTTAAATGCAGCACTGGAAGAGCTAGCCTTCAAGCTGTCTGAAACTCTGGACTCGGCTAGTCTTATGAAACCACAACAAGAAATGGAATGAACTTCTTCGCCGATATTTTGTCGCCACATCTATAAAGATCGTGTATTCTTACCGGACTTCTTCTCTATTTTGATACCGCTCGAGATAATCTAGAACGAGGTTTTAAATTCCACAATATGACGTTGAACCTCTTGGTCACATGAGATTGAAAAGGAGGGGCAAGTATGCCAAAAAGGGAAGAAAGAACAGATCGTAATAGAAGACCTTTTTCAACAACGACACAGCGAGTTGGCGACCTGCCTTATCAGTATTTTGAACATGATCGCCATAGAAATTTCTTCTTCCCTTTCCCTTCGTCTTTCGTTTCCCTGTACAGTACGTCCCGAAACCGGTGCAACCGTTTACACTCTTTAAGTGATTGTTTAGCCCCACTGCCAAGAAACAATAGTCCATATTGGGAGTTGTCCCAGCAGTTGTGTGGGTATTTGCCTCGTACGTAGGTTACATAGTAATATTAAAAATGTATTATATTGTAAATTCAATATATGTGGCACCTCCATGTCCCTCATCCGAAGCAGCTTTCCTTGGGAGCTCATTTGATAATCAGTCACGAGTGGTCCAACCAAAGATGGCTCCAAACCTAGCTCCTTCCAAACATGAGCTTATCTATGACATGATCCACAGTGGCGAACTGTCTATAACTGAGATGGCACAGGCCGCTGGTTGTAACAAGAGCACCATCTCGAAAATCTCTTCCAATATAAGAATGTTTGGCAGCGTCAAGGCACCGCCAAATAAAGGCGGACGACCCCGTAGTATCGCTCCAGTCATGCTCGAGGCTTTGTGCGACCATCTGATTGAAAAGCCTGCCTTATATCTGGAAGAGATGGTGGTTTTTCTGTGGGACGAATTCGCTCTTTAAGCAACGAAATCTAGCGTGAGTCGCGCCCTCCAGTCCAAAGGCTGGTCATGCTCAGATCAAGGCCCGAGAACAAAACCTTGACTTTCGGGACCAATACCATCATTTTATATCAGACTTCAAGTCTTACCACCTTGTCTATGTCGATGAATCTGGATGTGATAAAAGGATCGGCTTCCGGCGAACGGGTTGGTCCCCCCTTGGTACCGCACCGGTTCAAGTGTCGAAATTTCATCGTGAACAGCGCTATCAAATTCTGCCTGCGTATGCACAAGACGGCATTGTTTTGTCTCGAGTGTTCCAGGGTTCGACTAACGCATTCGTCTTTGAGGATTTTATCGAGCAGCCTCTCCAGCATTGTGGGAAATGGCCCGAGCCGAAATCTGTGCTAGTAATGGATAACGCATCCTTTCATCACTCGGACAGGATTGAACAGATGTGCTCAGAAGCTAGCATTAAGCTAGTGTATTTGCCTCCATATTCTCCTGATTTGAATCCCATTGAGGAGTTTTTTGCTAAGCTCAAGGCTTTTATTCGGCGTAATTGGCAATCCTACGAAGAAAATTCAGAGCAAGGATCCGATAACTTCCTCGAATAGTGTGTTGATGTTGTTGGAGCGAGTGAGAAAAGCGCGAAGGGACATTTTCGACACGCTGGCCTAGCTGTAGAGAGATAGCGCTACTGTGGCTCAATCACGGGCGTTATTGCGAACTACATTGTATTTTGAACTTCGGCAACATTAAGAAATACGAAATGCATGAATTCTTCGACATGCCAATGTTATCGTACCAATTTCTAATGCACTGATAGGGTATCTAACCACCCACCAAATCGTGAGGGCGAGGAAGATGGAGGGGGCATGTGATGAGCCGACCCATACCGGGTTTACCGTCGGCCCGACAGAATCCCCCACAGTGACGGAAACGCATCATACGGGTACACCAATAGGATCGATAACAGGTCTAAATTGCTAAAAGGCCCCTAATCCGTGGCACTAAACCCCCCTGCGCTCCAGGTCAATAGACGACTCCAGTTTGATACAGTAGAATTCGAAAACAGAACACCCCTCATACACTCACCTTTTCTTTCCCAGAGCCCCACTCCAGCCGCGCTAGACTTGATTGGGGTAGGAAAGTTCGTTCTTTATGTATTTCTGGTAGATCGTTGAAATTCCAAGTTATTCGGTCTCTTTTTCTACTGTGACCAAACGAAATATACGCGCTCATGTATCTACCCCTACATCTCTCGAATCATATTCTATTAAGACTTTCCTTCATTGGGCTCATTATTCGGCGACAATGACTTTCTCACGAAGATAACTTGGGCCATGGATTGATGCTTTCTTTCTTTGAATGATGTATTGACACGCCTGGAGCAAAAGTGGAAAGCACAGAGGGTCATCTAAGGCGTGTCCAACTGTGGGGAAGATGTATTACAGTATAGGTATTATTGCCATACACGGGAATGTCGATCTCATGATGGTAAGTTGGTGATCAAGGAAAGCCAAAAGGGCAAGACAAGGAGAGAAAATATTTATAACAACGAAATTGAAATAACGCCGTTCGCGTTTGGGATCGGTAGACCTTTCTTCTTCAGTCTTTTGATCCTTTTGCTCCTCTTTACCGATGACAGAGTTTCCCAATCGTGATATAGAGCCACATCCGGCAGCAAGATCTTAGCCAGGCTGTCTTTGGTATCGGCCTGACCAGCAGCCGCAGCATCTGGCTCGTTTGGTCCAACATGCCACTCAGCAGGACACTCTTCAGGGACAGGATACTCTTCGGGGGCAGCACACTCTTCGGGAGCAGCGCACTCTTCGGGAGCAGCGCACTCTTCGGCAGCAGCGCACTCTTCGGGAGCAGCGCACTCTTCGGCAGCAGCGCACTCTTCGGGAGCAGCGCACTCTTCGGCAGCAGCGCACTCTTCGGGAGCAGCGCACTCTTCGGGAGTTGGGAGCTCTTCAGAAGCAATAGACCATTGATCAACCACCACCGGATGTTCAGTAGAGGTTAGCTCGTGCTTAGAAACTCCTGATGCAACATGAGCTTGAGATCTGGTCCCCTTTTCCAAGCATTGAATATGCGATGATAAAATGTCGATCACTGATAGCATAATTGCTCTACTAAAAGGGTCCCAATCTTCTTGCAAAATTCCGGACAGATCCTTAGTATTGAACCGTGAATTGCCTGTCACAAATGAGCGCTGCAAGACTTTTTTCACGTAGCCTGGAAGCCAGACTTCGTCGTCAGGAAGCTTGGAAAATATTTCTCTAGCCGAACGCAGTATTTCAAAGGTAGAGATCGCTTCGTCAAAGTTTTCAATATACTTCTTGGCAAGGATCTCGAGGTCGGTGATGTTGTACCTCCTAGACGCATGGTAGACCAGAACACTTCTCCGATATTCTCGTTCGATGTAGGATATATTTTCATCAAGTGGCGAATTGATCGTCTCGTAAGCACCCGAGTACAAGAAATGAACTACGGTGTGGCCGACGTCTCTATGAATATCGGAAAGTGTGACGTATGTATCTTGGGGGGAACCTCGACCCAATAGAGGATACTTTCGAATATGGGACCCCAAAACACCATACTTCTTCTCTCCAATACATAGTGTGATCATTGGATGTTCATATGGTCTGCAGAAATTGAGAAGTCAGTTAAGTTCGGGTACAATAGTTGAAAAGCCCTCACGATGACAGTGGCTGATTGTACTCAATCTTCGGGCCATTATGGCCAGAATCCAGAGATTCCGAACTTGCTTGGATCTGACCAGAGAGGCTCCGGGTCATTGTGAACGCCTTTGACAATGGTATCATAGATGAATCCGATTAGAGGAATTGAAAAGATTGAGTTAGCGGGTGGTAGCACAATGAAGTCTGTATTTGTGGACGAAGCTTGGAAAAGAGGGGATATGCAAGTATGAGCTGTTCTTTATGCACAATTCCCAAATGTCGAATGCAATATTCTGGGAGATAGGTCACACGGAAAAATTGTAGTGCTTTTGCTCAATTACGCCGTCCGCTTGTGCTACAGCTGCTGCTGCCGTATACGGACTACTGGGCTTGGCATTAGGGCTCGAAAAGCAATCAAAGAGTGTAGGTGGTGACACAGGTTTCAGGGCATACTGTGTATAGTCGACCGGGGGAGAGATGAGTTCACAGCATCCGAATGCCAAAGTACGCTGGAAACCCAAGCCCCTCTCAGCCCTTCGTCGTCCTTCCTCACTCCTCAAACCCGCCAACCCCGCTGCTCCACCGGTCCGATCCACCCCACATGGCAACGACAAACCTCTCCACCAGCTCCCGATTACCTACTCGACCATCGCCGCTAGAGCTCTCTTTTTTCATAGACAAGTTCTAGTCAATATCACCCCTCTCCAGCTGGCTCAGAATGGCTTGCATTGCAAACCTTCGTCAGGTCTTGGCAGACCACTGTGCTGTTTTGCCTGCGGATCGACCAAGCCTTTGGATACGTGTGGAATGTTTATTGGCCAGGGATACGCCAGCGCACGTTGGGCCATACATTACTGTATGCGTTTCAGGAAGTATGATTTGCTCGATGCCGGGAACAGTAATTATAGTAATTTTGATGATCTACCAGAGATACATCGAAGAAAAGTGGTGGGACTGTCCCTGACCAAATTCAGTTTAGCGTAATCTAAGTGGGGTGCTAGGAAAAAAAGCGTGTTGTCTAGGGGATAATCTGTTTTCGAATTCTACTGTACCTCCAAAAATTGATGCGGGGACGGGCCCTACCCAGCAGGTCTCACATCCAGTGAGGATTTGAACCTGAAACAATATTGACCTCATTTAATAGCGGGCAAAGTCTACTCACAATAGTGACATGTATTATGCCAAATTAATATCCGACAATATCCTCTCTACCGTGATACAGTACCAGCATGTTGGGAAAGGTCATTAGAACGAGCTTACCTGTTTTGTTGTGTGCAGTGTGATCGCCGAAAGAAATTACAGTTCATTCCGAACCTATGCAAAGGGTAAATGCAGCATGCCAGTGTACAGTAGAAATCGAAATCAGTTTTAACTCCACACTCTTGCGATTTGATTTGCGAACCCTAATCTGAAACACACTAGTGCACATTTGGAATGGTGGTCGATCCATGATTTCCAAGAATAGACATTGTATTTTACATGACCAAGGTGGGACCTTGCCTTGTGTATCTTACTCGTAAATGCCTTACAATCGTAATTCTCTGCCTAACCACCCACCTCAAGCAGGAGGCATCTTCACCCGTCTATCTCTCTAGAATGTCATAATTGACCTCACAAAATGGCACCGAGACTTCCACCATCCAAGCTGCATCTCATCCGCGACATGATAGAGAGCCAGCCACTTGGCACATCTAAGATGGCCGAAGAAGCAGAGTGCAGCCAGGCTACGATTATAAATATTCGCGCAAACTTGCGACAATTTGGTAGTGTGCACGCACCCCCAACTCGAATAGGACGGAGACGGACTGTAACACCACTGATGATCGAAGCCCTCTGCGAACACCTGTCTGAAAAGCCCGGTTTATACCTCGATGAGATGGCTGTTTTCCTCTGGGATGAATTCCGCACCCTAGTCACAACCTCCAGCATCAGACGAGCCCTTGTTGCCAAAAGTTGGTCTAAAAAGAGCACTCGGCAGCAAGCGAGGGAGCGAAATGCCGATTTGCGAGAATGGTATCTGTATAATTTATCGGATTTTCAGTCGTATCAGCTGGTTTACGTTGATGAATCCGGATGTGATAAAAGGGTTGGATTCAGACGGACAGGCTGGTCACCACTTGGTGTGTCCCCTATACAAGTGTCACAATTTCATCGCGACCAGCGATATCAAATACTGCCTGCCTATTCCCAGGATGGAATCGTTTTCTCACGTGTCTTCCGCGGGTCCACGGATGCCACAGTGTTCGAGGACTTCATAGCGCAGCTTCTTCAGCACTGTGGAAGATGGCCCGAACCTAAATCCGTTCTGGTTATGGATAATGCATCGTTTCATCATTCAGAGCGGATGGCGCAGATGTGTGTGGACGCAGGGGTAAAATTGGTCTATCTACCACCCTACTCGCCGGACTTGAATCCGATTGAAGAGTTTTTTGCTGAGCTCAAAGCCTTTATTAAACGCAACTGGAGTTATTATGAAGTAGACCCCGATCAAGGCTTTGATGCCTTTCTTGGATGGTGTATTGATGTGGTCGGTGCAAAAGAAGAGAGTGCTAGAGGTCATTTTCGGCACGCAGGCTTGAAAATCGAAGAAGCCTTAAAAGATTGTTAGGTACGCCCGAAACTGGTGCCACCACCTGAAATCTTCGATTAATTATCCAGCCCCACTGCCAAAACACACCAGTCTATATTGGGAACTTATCCGTAGTACCCTGTTAGTTGGGCATGTATTGCTTTTTACAAGATTATACGGCACTTTATGTGCTGCCTAAATTTAATATATTTGATGTCTCTTACCCTCAAGCCCTCCGAAGGACGTCGTATCTTAACAATTAATCACGAGAAATCAAACCGAGATGGCGCAAAGCTACCCTAGAGCATGAGCTTAACCACGACACGATCCAGAGTGGGGGATTATCTATGGCACAGGCAGCTGGCTACAACACATACCGGGGACCTCTTCCAGTATACAGCATCAAAGCACATCGTGGAGAACGCATATGTTCAATAACTCACGAAGATTAATGGGTATTGGGATGGCTCTTCCGCTAGCGTGGAAATGTGTTGATCCAGTTCAGCATCAAGGATGCAGTGATATTGATTACTCGGCATGACATAACGAGGGGGTGAAGGAGTGAGGGGTAAGGTGATTGAACTTCGGTGAGTGAAGTACAGGGTTCAGTCACCTTAGTGCTCGATAAACCTGCTAGGCAGATGATGTATCGAGCTTAAAGATATATATCGCGTAATAAGGATTTCAACACGTGTAGTCTTGTCGCTCAACTTCCCTGTGCACGAATTTATACAGTATACGAAAACATATTTTCCCCTTTCGTTTATGAGTTCTTGTAAAATACTCTCGACCACACAACTTTGCAACGTGGCTCTCATGGAGTTGTCTAAGCCAATAGCGCCGTAGGTACGCCTTGAGGGGTTCTATTTCGGGCCACCAGTTAGGTCGTGACACATAAAGCCAGCTCATCGAACATTCACAAGCCAAATGCAGCCAAATGCCGTCAGCCGCCCTTGAGATAACTATATATATGCCCCAAATCTTGTTTATATGATATCAGGACTGTTGCCATACTCTTGGAGTTTCTTTTCTCTCACAGTGCATAGGATTTGACGCTTTAAGACAAGCAATTAACGAAGTAATACGCCTATGGCTCCACCAGTTAGCAAAAGCGATAAGTTCTATGCGGTCTACAAAGGTCGTGTTGACAAGCCTACCATATATTCATCTTGGTAGGATTGGATCCAACTTGGCAAGACACGTTTGATGCACTGACATGCTACTTGCCTAGGAGTCAAGCGCACCCAAGAGTCATAGAATGCGAAGGCGCCGAGCATAAGAAGTGGGACACACTCGAGGATGCTCGCAAGGGAATGAAAGATAGAGGCTTCGAGGACGTTGATATATTTGTCAAAAAATCAGCTGAAACCAAAATCGCGTCGTTGCGAAAAGACAAATACTATGCCGTTGCAGGTGGCAAGACCACTAGAGTGTTCACTTCTTGGGAGTAAGTCTCCTTATTTTGATAGTCCAACATAGATAACTCACATAACATAGGGATGCGAAAGAAGCGATCAATGGAACCACCGCGTGCCAAGAATGTTTTAGCACTAAGCAAGAAGCAGAAGAGTTCATTGAGAATTGGAAAGACGCCTACGCTGATGTATGCCGAAGGGCAATTCGACAAGGATTGAACGAGGGATGGAAGGCTAGGGACATGAGTTTGAACATTGGATCAATCTTGCTTAGGGAGAATGACAACGAGAGGTTAAAGGAAGATGGTCACGAGATGGTCAAAACGGCTCAAAATGAACTTCCGAAGATTGAGCAATTATCTGTCAAAGAAGAGAACCAGGAATAGAGCGTTCAATCTAGGGTTACGTTTGTGGTGGGGCTCAACGAGCGAAGGCCAACACGACCGAAGAAGAGCTCTACATGGCGCCGGGACTTTGGAGCTTCTTCTACAACAAATTTAGCAATGAATGTCATGCAATTCTACCTACTTTGCTGAACCCGCAGTTACACAGTGCCACCTCACATTTCTGCGGAAAACCATAAACTACTCAGTATTCTGATAGCCATCCCCACATTATTAGTGAAAGTCAGCGCCACCTATGGTGGAGATCCGGTCCAAGTCCGTCAATAAACGCTGTAGTAATGGTTCGTGGAAATGATGTTGAACGAGTTAAGCTACTTTTTCTCCTGGTCTCAATTACAGTATTAGCCTGAAAACAACAATTGCAGCTACACAAATCAACACTCGTGAAACCAATAATATGTCAATTGCACCTGCGGTCAACAGCAATATGTTAAACTAAACCTCCTAAACGCCATGTACGCCAACGACAAAGTGGATAGTTGCTAAATTATCTCATAAATGGGGATTGCTTTCTTCACGTTCTCAACCCAGCGCCGAATGTCTTCTACGAACCGTCGAGCAATACCTATCTTAATGCCCTTTCCGATAAAGAATGCCGGGTCTTGATCCTTGTAGACCTGCTCAAGATCATGACCATTGTCGATCATCATGTCACAGATCTCTCGAAATGCAGCCTTGAGAGTGTCATCAGTGACATTTGACACTTGCCATTCACCATGCTCCTTGACTGCTTCATCCCTAGGTCCAGGGATCTCAAGCGGACCTAGAGATTGCATGGACTGGAAGTCAGCAGAAACCTGTGCAGCCGCAGAGGTGGAAGACTGCGAGGGCAGGACATTGATGTTGATAGCAGGATATGGTGCTCCATTCCCAGTCACATGTCCTCCTTTGCGAGTGTTCTTTTCCTGTCTTTGTTGCTCTTCCATATATAATTCTTCGCATACTGTTTCTGGCACATCCTTGTGCCCGTCTAACACCCCACCTTTTTCGACGTGGGTAACGAGCCGCTTGAGATGATGAGTCTTCAGTTGGTAATGCTTTTTTCCCATTGGATCCACCCAACAATATGGGCCTAATGGGCAAGTCGAGGATGCGCACCGCATCAGATTATAGACGCTGCGCCAGACAGGTCTTTCTCCAGAAGCATCCTGCTCAGCATCAATCTGAGCGGCTCTCTCATCGAGCATTCTCTTCGTGACAGACGCCTTTCCTCTTTTCTCCCCATTCCGACCAGCGGCTGGAGGAGAGTGACGATCGTCTACGTAATTGAAACTGATCTTCAGCGTGAGCTCTTTACCCCGGGAGAATAGACCTGACCACATCCGGAGCTGCTTCTCGATGGCGGTCCAAATGATATCGGTATCATCAAATCGTTTAGTCAAATTGCGCTGGGTTCGGTCGTTCACTGAAACGACAATCGCAGTGTCATCGGCTCTCACCTGACGATGACGGGCAATTTTTCGTCGAAGAACTTTCTCTAATTTCTTCTCCAAGAACAGCTGCCAAAAGGCACTAGGGGCCAAAACAAGATCTTCCTCCGTGTCCTTTAACACCTCTCGGTTGTTGACTGTAAAACGCCACTCTATACGGTAGTGTATACAGGTCGGCGGGTCCTTGTCTTATACTCTTCCTTCTTCCCACTCAGACAACTGGAGCAGCCTAAGAGTATCTGACCGTGACTGATCTTCTAGCACAACAGATGGGGAGGGACTGTAATTGAACTGTGTTGCATTGGGACTACCGCAATATCCAGGTGTTGGAGCGTAATGTGAGTTGTTTTCCCATGTTGCAGGATCTTCGGGATGGGAGATGAAATCGTCATGATATGGGCTCTGTGTCATCTCTACAGTACGATGGCAGTTCTGGGAGGGTCCATGTCAGTTTCACCAAGTACCGGATTTCCTCAGGATTTGGTAACGAATGATAATCGCAGTGGATAGCAGAAGCCAGAGCTATAGAGAAACAAGTTGCGTACCAAGATAAGTTCTCTATAGCGTCACTACAGCCTTCTTTTGGATGCAAAAGAGTGTGGGCGTAGGCTGCGCGTGACAGATAGCCCAAGCAAGACATGAGAGAATGAAAGAAGATCTTGCCAGATTGTTAGGATTTCCTTTTGTTTGCACGATGAATTCCATCGGTTTCTACAAGAAATTACGGTACTATAACAATGACTCATTGTGGTTACCAGGGAATACAATACAGCCCTACATGGATTAACAGGGAAAGAGCTAAAATTAGATTAGCGTGTCTCCACTTAAGGTCCGGGAATGAAATCGGAAGAGTTTAAAGTTAAAACTCATTTCGAATTCTACTGTACGCTGTTCTCTAATTAGAGTACATAAAATAACTACACTAAATGAATATTTTCGTTGCAAGTCGCTTCTTTGCGTCGTTTCACCTAAAGGCCGATGTCACGAACGAACCGCCGCGCGGCACCTATTTTCACGCCGTGCTTAACAAAGAAACCTGGGTCTTGATCCTCATAAATCTGCATAAGATCGAGACAATTTTCGAGGGTCACGTCGCGTGCTTTGTTGATGTTCTCCCTGAAAGTCTCGTTGCTAGCCCGCGATTGCTGCTATCTAGTATATTCGTCAACAGCGATATCTAGCAGGCCGTCGATTATGATTGATTCAGTACAGCCGGGCCCGGTAGACATGGTATCATTAGCAGGAGGCTGTATCGATTGTTGAGATGATCCAGCCGGGAGGACATTGATATTGATTGGATGACACACTGAACCCGTTGTAGAGTTTCTCCGCAGCTTTCTTTTTTTGTCCAGTCGCTGGTTCTCCTCGGCATAGAGCTGCGCGCGAACACTATTAGGGATATCATCGTGAGTCTCAAGAACTCCACCTTGCTCCAAATATTTAACGAGGGCTTTCAGATAGTGTGTCTTCAATCTATGGTGCCATTTTCCCTCTTGATCTTGCCAGTAATATTGTCCTTCGTGGCGGCATAGAGGCCCGGGACATCGCATAATACGATACACATCGCGCTAGACGGAATATTGGCCGGAGACCTGCTCGGCGTTAATCTGAGCGTCTCGGTCAGCGAGCATCTGTGTGGTCACCGATGACTTTCCTCGCTTGTCTGTTCTAGAAGGAAGAGGACCACTGTCCTCTATGTAGTTGATCGATATCTAGAGCCGGATCTTCTTTCCACGACGGAATAGATAGGCCTACGCTAGTAGCTATTCCTCCACCGCTGTCCAATCAACACTAGTACCTTCAAAGTGTTTGTTAATGTTCCGTTAGGAGTTGTCACGAAATGTGGATGTGGTACTTACACCACAATATTCTAGGTCGCGGCCAATCCGCTTTTGTATGTAGTTTTCCATGCGTTCCCGCAAATACGCAGTCCTCGGATAGTGTGTACCCGAGGTACCGCCCTACAGCACAAGGACACCTCAACGTAGCCCTTGCACAGATTTCTCCTGTGGAACTCCGTATAAACCTAGTGGATCTCAGCAAACCCCGCGGGCATGGCACCCTGTCTTGTAGAACCTTCCATCTAAACGAGCTAATCTGGTATAGTCCCTGGCTGATCTAGCGAGCGTAGCGCGCACCACCTCTGATTTATCTTCTGTCTGTACAGACTCTTTCCGTACAGACTCTTTCCGTACAGACTCTTTCCGTAATTACCTCTCACCCTTTTGACAACCACTACAGTCTTGAGGAATCATTTACATCATGAATGTGAGGCTTCAGCCTTCAACACCCTGAATTTAATGATTAATTTGTAGCAGATTGAAACCCTCGCGTTCGACTTATCCAGCATACGGCTTGCTTGCCTTGCTTCCCCGCCGCAAACCGCCCCTCAATGTCCTACATGCGGTCGACTAGGGAGCGAAAGAATCACACGCTCATCAAATCGCAAAGGTAACGCGGGGCGACCTTATTACAAATGTCACCCTTGCGACAAATTTCTCTGCTTTATTGATTATCGGGGCAATCATCCCTTGAACCCGTTATGCTACTGCGGAGAGTCCAGCAAAGCGCATATGGCGGGTCGTGAAAAGCGCATTTCACGTGGCCTATTCTTCACCTGTAGGCTTGGGGCATGCGACTTTCATCTACCTTGTCGCGATAGCCACGGGCGCCATGTTGCTGTCTCTTCCGATGACTTGGCGGATCGTTTGATCAGACTTAGTCTTCTCTAAAAGACGTGTTGGGAGATGTGCGCCTGTCAGTAAGGGTAATCTATCAGTTACCACTTACGAGCTCTGCGTGCCCTGCTTGCGAGAATGCATCATTTGCATTCAGCGCTTTGCCACACTCTAATTGTGGAGGAAGCTGTACGTGGCCCTCTTCCGAATGACTAAAGTTGGGATCTTGATATTCGAAGCTGACATTTTGTATCACACTATAATATATTGGATACAGGTGCCTATTATAATTCAATAGGCTAGAGTAAGTTAATATCATTCCCAACCTACAACAGAAATCAAGATTACATATATTCATTATATACGCTGCGTACAAGTTGAACCTCCCAGGAGGTGACAAAGAACGAATTGATGGTTTCACTTCCAAAGTTTACCATAATCTTTTAACGGCTTGTGTATGATTCACAGGGGAGCTGTATACTGTCGAATCGCGCACCCTATATAACTAAGTTGCAACACAGATTACGTTTTACCGTAGTTGGCGTGCGAAGGAAAAAATGCACCGCTAAATATCTCAACCGGCCTGGTTGGCTAACATGACCCTTAACGGAATCTTGATCTTGGCCGAATATAACCGAAGTAATATATCCCGCCTAGGTGTATGCGCGTCTCCAGTTCCTCTAAAAGGGGCCTTTGCAGGGCCGTAGAGGTAACAAGCTGTAAAATACATCCCTCGCGGTCTGATATCTGTATTATAAGATACCGCGATTTTTTTGAAATAGCGGTCTGAAATATAGCTGATCCAATCAGAGCTTATACGGGGGGGGATTTAATTTCCGGGGATGTGGTTGCAAGAGTTTTGAGGTATAACTGATTTCGAAAATTACAGTAGTCTCTAATTTTCTCGTCGATCAAGACCCAAGTACAATTGTCATTTGACCACCACTCTTCTTTTGATACCCTTGGCCAGTATACCAGTACGTTATTACACGATACACAGAAGAGAAAAATATTTTGGCGTACTTCCCCACTGGTATTCGCGCATCTTGGGGCGACGGTCCACAAACAACATAGGGGAAAGGTAGGAGAGCCCGCCATCCTCAATGACTTGCATAATATCGTTAACTCAATTTTGGTAACCAGTAGCTCCTACTGTATGCAATAAATCTACCACTTTGGTTGCTACCTATCAATGAACTTCATGAACCTGTCTAACGAAGTTTTGCTTCATATCACCGGTTCTTTGGGATAAGAGCTGGAAATAAATACTTTGTCACAAGCTTGCGGGAAACTTCCCTCACTACTCGATTGCACTCTCTACTAGCACAACATTGGCTATTCTGGTAGTACCGCTCTGCTCTGGGCAACACGTCGGGGTCATGTCCAAACCGTAGCGAAATTTTTGAAAGCTTGTTACCCTCTCCAGCCAAGACCGTGAACGCCCATTAGTCGTTAAGGCAACCTTGGGCGCTTCGATATGTTGATCTGCCTGTACCCATCCTTGAAGGACAGAATGTTACCAAAAGGCTTCCACGTATCACCACAGGATCTGCAGACGACAATGATCAGCCGTCGAATCCGATTGCATGTATTAATTCGCGCTCCAGTAACCTAGGCCAGACAGCCTTGTCAATTGCTGCGGAGTATGGGCATCTGAAGTTGGTGGAACTTTTGATAGGAGCCCAGTGTGATATTGAAGCGTTATATCGCAACGATCACTCCCCGCTCCTTCACATTATACGCAACAATCATATCAGCGTGGCAAATGCTTGCTTTTTGCGGGAGCGGATCCTCACACACAGGCCTCCCTATATGAGTTGTTAGTCTGCTGCGCCGCAAGGTGCGGCCATCTTGCGTCCTTGAAAATGCTTCGCCAATATGGGGCATTCTCGACACCCTAAGCAACACCTGCACGTCGATTAGAGCTGTTACAGGCGGCCGCAAGTGGCAGGCATTACGAAGCGGCTGTGTTTCTTCGGGGGCTGGAGTTGGACTCAATGATAGAGCTGGAGTGCGGACCCGCCCGCGCTTTGCTTCTTTCCATAGCTGCTGCTTGCGGCTGGGAGGGCCTTGTGCAAAGACTCCTGATTCTTGGATGTGCAGTGGATGTGATCGCACAAAATGAAGCCATATCATGACCATCCAAAAGAGTGGCTTTATTGTGCAGAGCAGCCGCATATTGAGTTGTACAATTACTTCTGAAATGGAATGCGAGCCCGAATTCCCCGCCCGGGCGCAGAGCGGAAATGGGGCACTTGTCTTAGGCAATTCATGGTGGACACACTATGATTGTTAAGCTCCTCTTAGACTACGGCACGAATCCAAATACAACCGACTCACGCGAGGGATCGATGCTCACCCTTTCTTTACCATACCCTGCAACATTTCCGCTGCTGGTATGACGTGACGCTCATGTCATCGGTAAAAGAATTGTCATTGGTACAAGGATCTTAGAGGTTTCTACTTTTTCTCTTTCTACCTGTTACGTATTCATACTTTAGAGGTTGTGGACTAGGCGACGGCGGTACTTGCTTTGCGTTACGCGTGATGAGGGAATCTCAAGTCAGGCAACGAATCAATGACTGAAGAACAGGGCAAACCTAATGGGAGCATCGATAGATCGGCCCGAGCAACCTTAGTGGCGGCGTTGGAACGTCTCTCTGACGATCTTTCTTTCCGTAACATCCCTACTTAGCGTCTTACAGCATCCACGTGCATAAATTTCAATTCTTCGTCAGCTTTCTCAATTCTCTTTCCCATTTTGAACCCCTTTCCTAATTTATAAAATAATATTTACAGGCTCATTCATATTTACATCCCTCTGATTAATCGGAGCGATAATCTACAGAGGAATATAAAGACGGACAGTTGGGACACCTAAAAGAGCTGGTTGCAATCACGCACAAATAATACCACGTTTCTGTCATTATGCATAAATTTGATACTAAACAGGAATATTAACAAATGGTGTTTCACATCATCTCGTAGGTTGCCTATGTTTACCTCATCAAAATAGACCACATGACTCACTTTCCTGCTGGCCATCCTTTTCGCTCTCGATTTTCTACATTACAGCCACCCATCTACTTACGAGCCGTACTAGTTCAAGGTGACTAAATTATCAACCAAATGCTTGTGTTGTTTAGGACCGTTATAATCGCGGCCATGCTCTTCCCTCAAACTGGCTATGGGGGCCCCGTTCACCAGCGACTTGTTGTCTGGGAGACCATTATCTGGGAGACTACCACTATTGTTGTCGTGGAAACTGTCAATATAACCACTACCGTCCCCGCCAGAGAATCAACATACCGCACAACGACAGTAACTACTCCCGCTAGTACTTAGGTCAAGATCCGTTACTTAATAAATTGACGAAGCCTTTCTTGTTTTCAATAATCATGCATGGAAAAACGTCTACTTTTTGAAAGTAAATGGAGCACTAACTACGGACCCTGCGGAGCCTCGTTCTGAGCCGAGCACCAAGCTAGATGACTAAATCCCATGAATCAACCACCCAGAAAGGAATACGACCTCGGCAACTCTAAACTATAATAATCTTTTTGTGACACAGACATGCTCTGTTGCGATCAGTATTCCGGGCGGAAAGCCGCCCACAAGACGGAAATATGACAAGTGTCTAAGATTTCATACAGGCTGCCTATGATTTCTGAGCACAGCTCTGCTGTGGTATCTAGCGTTGAACAATCCAGTATGACGTTAACATTTTTTTTCGGTGAAAAAAATGAATTACGCAGAATACCCCACGACACGAGGTTTCGGCCACCACTCCTAGTTTTACATTTCTCGAAACGTTCGTAACTCAACCTTGTCTGCACCGCACTAACCTTGATGAATAAAAAGCCTAGAGCTCCACGGTTTGATCTCCTATCTACAAGTAGTAAATCTTGGAATGGTGATATAGTAAAAACAAAAAAGAACAAGTGAATAAAAGCCTAAGCAAGTCTGCTGTCATCTTTACTTCTCTACTTTCCCTGCAATTTCTAAATACCTTCATCCAGATGATTCTGTATGAGCGGTAGTACTTAATGAGGCATCTTTTCGACCAAAATAACACACTGGTACTGTTATCACACCATTTTGGGAAAATTTAAATAGCGGCAGCGCCCACAAACTCGATTCTAAGCTAAAAGAGAGATCCGACGAAGACGCCGAGTAGAAGGGTCTGGAGAGCCCAAATGGTGAGAGTGGGCCGGTGGCAGAAAAGGTCAGACGCCGAATGGCATCCAAATAATACTGAACACCCAATAACAAGTGTGTGCTTTAGAGTACTAGATGGCGGGCGCAGTGGTCTGGACAGCAGAGTTGGCGTCAAAGCCACAGTAGATCTGCTTATTTCGATGTCTAGTATCTAGTATTGCTAAGTACGGAACTAAATCACTACATTCCATTTTCTACACATGATTCAGCAAGCATTGAAGCAGTTTTACCGACAACAGTGAAAAAAGAATATAATTTATAATTCAACATCAATAAGATGCATAGCTGGCTTAGAGAACCAGATATATGCGACAAGGACGACCAATGTAAGTTTTTCTCTGTGACATTGGATTCGAATCGAGGGACAATCTGAATGAGCGGGAGGGTTCAAAAGCCATCTCGGGGGTCAAGGAAGCCACCATTGCACCCGAAATCGTCGCAGGGTATTTCGAAGAGAAACGATTATACCTTGCGAAAACTATCTTGTAGGGAGCTCACTTTACTAGGAGAGTCTCATTTAGCATCAAAGTGAAGAAGATCGCCCATCGCCATCGACACGAACGAATCTAAAAACCGACAACTGTTCTATGCGTTCTTTGGGTTCAACCACGAGGAGCCCCTGACTGACGGAAAGGTGGCTTATGCAAGAACTCTTCTCGAACGGGATGTGATTATCTTTCATAATTCTATCCGAATATCCTGCTGCATGTGGTTAAGAAACTATATCATTGACAGACTCAACATGGTCGAGATTGACGGAGATCGATCTAGAGGAATATTACTGCAAACCATGCAAGATTACCCCTTTGGGTGTGCTAATCGAGGCTTCGGCCTTTTATGGGATTTTTTGGACCAACTTAGGATTACTGAAGATCCTATAGACCAATTTTGTTGGTTTGAGGTATGCGGCCCATGAAGCGCGCTTGCTGTGTCTTATTGTCTTACCGTGTCTACTAGAATCGTAACCTGTCATCTGGCGACGCCGGACATATGCTACATATTTGGAAAGCTCTAAAAACTCTACTGATCCATCATCTGACCGTGCAGTTAATGAAGTCTCACGAGTATGATTTCACAATTGGCGCAATCTGTCATATGGTAAATCAAGTCATGAAACTTGGCATGGAAGGGATACATTCGTTTCTGGCTGGTGAGTATTCTCGAGACAAATACCGTCTTCAAGACAGAAACTACGCAGTAAGAGATGAAATTTTTGAAAGTGCATGTTTAAAGTGGTGGGCAAGGAAGAAAAAAGTAGAGACTGAAGTGGAAAATGAAGTCCAATTCCGGCACAAGATATAAAGAGAGAGGGCAGGGTACTGTACTCCAGTGGCTTTAAGAACATCGTGTTTGGTTCCGGCGAGAAAGGAAAAGAAATATCTGAATCAATCTTATCGTCCAGGAGTCATTCAATGTAGGACAAGCCACTCAATTCCTAAATATATCATGTCTTGCCGGCGTCTCCCCAATCTACCTGACAAGGCGCGCCCCAATTCCTGAGGATCACCGATAATTCCCCCGGACATTCCCTTGGACTGTTTGATTTTTCTATTAATGTGAACTGGGTGCTCTGTCATCTACATCCCTATATCTTTTCAAAGGTATACATGCACCTAAAATGTAAACTTGCAATTAGTTCTCCTGAGGTGTGCGAATATACTCCGTTCCTACTGGCTCAAAGAAACGTTAGGGAAGAACTAGGCTAGGAGTCCGGATCCGCATTTGCCTCGTAAAGAATGTGAAATTTATATCGTGCAGTAGAAGTCATCCCATTGTAATCAAGTAACCGTTTCACGCAGATTCTTGCTTCAACTTCTGTAATCCGTGCTCAAGTCGAAGAGCTAAGAGCGAGAGTCAGATCAGGCGATTTCTATTGAGAATAAGCTTACTTGAACTTTGTGTCCGTTAGGGTAGGGACCGGAAGCATTTAGTTCCTGTGCAGGCTCTAGTGCCGTTTCTAGGTGCGGACTGATAGCTGGGGTGCAACGGGAAGTGTGTCTTTCTGCTTGTGTCAAAATCCGGGCAAGACATTCAGAATCAGGCAACGGAAGACCTGGGTTCATTGGACCACGTACTTGATCAACTCTTGTCGCTGCACGAGTCTCACGCTTTCTCTTTCGCCGATGACTCCGACTCCGTCAACGAACTTGACTGAGAAGCGAAACTCGGCATCGCGATGTTTTGGATAGTCAACACCGTCAAGACTGAATATACAGGAATCGTCATCTCCGCCCTGGTGCAGTCGTTGTGTATTTTCTACTCTCTCGTGATGACTCGGATCTTCGCGGAGTGAACGAGGGAGTGGGTGTAACGGCGGAAGCAACGTTGGATGAGCCTCTCGGCCTTTCCGGCTGTATCTTTCAGTAGAAACCATGATCTGTTAACTTACATGACTTACATGGCCAAATAAGCCTAGCCGATAAAACTTACCTGACCCTTATACCTCGGTATTTACGGCAATCTGGCATTCTCATCATAGACCAATTTGTCGCTCTCTCCAGCTAGGCTGTCCCTGCTACACCGGAGACGATGTGGCTATTGAGGGAGCGCGCTCGATTGATGCAGGATAACTATCGTGTTATAAACGTGACTTATTCTGCAGGGTATCGTGCACCGTGACAACGAAATAGGAGTACTTATAGACCGAGCTCACGAGTACTGGAATGGATATCAATCAGTTCCAAGATACAAGTGTTCTCTGCCAATGACTCTTTTCTTGCCACCCTCATGATTTCATGATCCCAAATACGTGAGTTATGTATCAAATTGTGTGATTGTAGGTCTTCTTTAGAAAATATTGTGGAGTTTGGTTTGACTAGCATATGATAAGATTCAACCTCGGAAGGGGGTGGCTACTCCAAGAGTTGTTTTTAACGTTCGCGGATTTAGGTGGCGTCGGCTAAGCGAAAACCCCTCACCTGTGAGAAAAAAATGAACACATCCTGAGAATAAGAGGATTTTTGAATTAGGCGCCGAGGTCTTCTCATGCCGTGAGTAATCACCCAAAGTAAATTTCTCTATATCACCGCGCGGTAGTGCCGGCATGAAGGCCCATTAACCCCTGAAAGAAAGAAATTTGCTATAAATTTGAACCTTCGTCAATCAGCCCTGCGATCAAGAAAACAGAGGATAGATTTCTGTTCTACTCGCCCACAGGTTATCTTACTCATTGACTCAAGGATACAATAAAAGCCTTCAAGAAGTGATGGTGGTACTATAACATAACACACCTGCCGCTCGACATACCTTTGGACCGGTGTATCATGATCGCGACCTGACATTCTACAATGATTGACTCAGACTCAAAGCTGAAAGTTTTGGTTTGCGATAGCACCTTCAATTTGAATGTGAATTTTCTCTTTGACTGGGTATTTGGATTGAATCCCCAGGAAAAATTTGGAGATAGTGTAATGAATGGGAAGGCTTGACCATGCCTAACGGCGAGCATTTAAGTGTATAACCTAATTCGAGAATAGTGCGGTGGATCTTTCCACCTATCAGGCTCCTTATGTTGACTAGGATCTGAGCTTACTGTATTGACGGGTGTTAAAAACCGACCAGGTTAGTCGAGAGTCTGAGGAGCCTAGACTTGACCTCGAAAGTCCTTCTCATATAGTAATATACCAGCCCTCAGGTACGTGTGTATGCCAGTCTTTTGTTCATACTGTCGTTTCTCCGTGATAACTACTGAACACATTTTCAAAGAGGTCTATCACGAAGAGCCGTTCATGCCAACGTATCGAGGAGGGCGGTTATCGTTCAGTTTCCCCCTGCGGTCGTTGCGTTGGTCTTCACAAGATTGTTCTCCGATCCGATAACGTGCATCCGAAAAATGAGTGTATCCGTTCCGATATTCTATCACAACTATTAGATAGTCTCGTAGCTTAGTATTTGTGAATTCGTCGAGAATTAATTAGTCTCCCTCTTGGTCTACTAAAGACAGTTAAGTAATGATTCTAGACTTCCCATTAATGAACCTGATATTTTCAATCATCTAGACGGTGTCCATTTGCTATCTGAGGGCCGCTGTCAGGGGATAGTAGGAACCTTTTGGTGTTCTGGTGAAACTCGACGAAGGTGGTAATTCACATTTTTGGCTCATTCACCGATATCACCGTACCTGGCTAATGAACAATAATGATCGATAAATACTGATTTTGCCTGGTACCTTCTATTCAGCGACCTCCTGACAAGGACCACCCAGATCCCGCAGGGTCTGGGACCTGAAGGATCAAGCCCGGGTTACACCACCGTTTCGAAGGTTTCGAACCCCTCAGGTTCTATCACGCAGGCATGTAGCACAAGGGACTATCAGGCCCCTGTGCGAAATCCTGGGGAGCTATAAGATAGCCTCCCTCGAGGGATCCTCGAGGGATCCTCAAGAATTAGTCTTGGAATTCACTCCTGACCAGCGGCGCCCTCTTCTTCCCTGACGATCAAGTCTAGACCTTGCAATTGCTCGCGGCGAGCCGGCTTTTTGGACTCGACTCGCGAGTCTTCCCGCTCGTACGGTATTGTAAAACCGAGCCGGTAATTTATTATCATATATAGCGAGCCAGAAAAACTCGCGGTTCGATCGGCTCGATTACTAGTGTATTACCGTCGTACGGCTCGCGAGCCAGACTTTCTGACTCGAACTCGCGAGTAGCGCGAGCCGAGGACTCGCGAGTAATTGCAAGGCCTAATCAAGTCTTTCTACCTTGTACAAGTAGATCTCGTTACAGCTCCTATGGGTAGTAGTTAGGTCCTGCGGGTACGGCGGGGCGTAACTGTACCTTGCGCAAGTATACTACGGCGGCCTATAGGCCCCACGTGTGTAGTGTGGCTAGGCCCTATATGCGTAGTGTGGCTGGGTCGTAACAAAACAATAACAAGGCCCGAAATTAGCCTACAGGAAACGTCTTACAAGTCTTCTTCTTCTTTTCCTCAATTTGTGGGTCGTCAACCGATGAATCAGTCGATCAGTCAGCCAAAAGCAGAGAGGTATGCGAACTCCCTGAAACTGAATCAGATTCCAACCTTTCACAAGAGAAAAGGAGATAAGATGTCCGGGATGATGATAAGTTGATGATTGGGTGTGGTATCTGGTCTATTCTCACCACATAGATTAACCAAATCAAGCCCGGGGCGCTGGGTACTGGTAGTGCTTCTTTTGGTAGTCCCCTGATTTTGGAGGTGAGGGCCTATGTCGGATAAATAGAACCGTCCTTAGTGGTTGCTAATCTGCAAGATGATGCTGATGTATCGACTTGATTACTTAGATTTACCCTCGGAAGAGAATGTCTGCCGGTGTCACGTGTTGCTAGATTGTTAGTCCGAATCACGTGCTAGATCCCAGCACAGTACCTTACTAATAGAGATACGCCAGCCGCGTCACGGCCACTTCACCCGGGTCCAGCACCTAAGCTCCGCGGAGTAGGGGCGCGAAGTCGCGGAGTGTAGGCCGCTGAGTGGAAATTTTTAGACACACCTCCGGCAGTCACGTGAGACCGTCATGATCCCTGGATTGTGCTTCTTTTGAGCTAGGAAACACGGCTCTTTATACATTCCACCTACTGACACGTATCGACCTATATCCGCCCGACAGTCCTCTGTCGTGTGAAACATGCTTGAATCTTTCATCCCCGCCATCCTACGGCCGGACTTTACCTGGCCACGAGTAATGCCGTCTACAATTTCGGAGAAAACACCGGCCTTGCCTCGTGTTTCCAGCAGGAATGTCAGGGTAGCATGGGGCGTTGTGCACAAGTCTCTTTACTACTTTTCCCAGTGGTATTGCTCCTGGTTCGGAATCACATTCAATGCCAATATCGTCCAATTGCCCTTTGGCCTCGTCATGAAATGGACAGATCGGACCAGCATAGAAGAAGTGGTGTCAATGCAAATGGCAGCTGCCGCCGGAATTCCTGTTCCCAGGGTACTCAATTACGGCGAACATCTAAAGGCTCCGTTCAACAGGAAGATATCGATCTTGATGACTAGGCTGCCTGGAGTTTCCCTGGAAAATTCGGATGATGAGCTGCAAGTCGACCTAGAAGAACCATGGCTAGAGGAACTCAACAAATGTGTGCGTTCAATGCGTTCGTGGCTCCCACCTAACCACCATTCCATCTGCTCCCCTACTGGGACGCCTCTGCGGAGTCCGCGGGTCCCTGGACATGTAATGGGGCCCTTCACCGATCATGCACAACTCCTTGAATATTTGATTTCGCCCGCTTCACCTCATGGCTTTAAAACTATGGTTGAGTACGAGGACACCCTAGCGCGTGCAGAAAAGCTCAAACAACGTGATTATCGGATTACATTCACGCACGGGGACTTCAAGGCTCACAATATTTTAATCGGCGACGATGGGCATCTATCCGGGTTCTTGGATTGGGAATCTGCTGGGTGGTATCCTGAATACTGGGAATACACAACAGCAATGCGGTTCGGCAAAGGTAGCTGGTGGTTTCAAGTGGCCTCTTGGATGGGAGGTGACCGATACTTGGGTGAACTGGCTTCGGACATCGCCCTTAACCTTCTAACGGTCGACTCATACATAGCAATGTAATGGTTCAATGTTGTAAACATGAATCATTGTAGCTTCAATTTATCTTTAAAACCGAATCCTTAAATAAATATCACTGCTGGTTTTTCGAAAGAATGACATATACCAATCGTAAATAGCTAACTCATGGCAAGGCGGACAAAACTCAACATGCCCATTTATCCAAGGGAACCGGTCTTGAACAAACCAAACGAGGGACAAGGTGAAAAATAATAAAGTCAGCAAGAGCTCAAGAATACCATAGCGAACGACAGGTGGTGCCCAGACAGATGTTAGGAGGCCGGCTTGCTCATTACCCCCCCCCCCCTCTTCAAAGACACCTCTGCGATTTGACAACGGGCCGCGGCTGGATATTGCTTGCAGTACTCTTGCTGTATTTGTTTCCGAAATCCATACACTCCCGTTGCAATGCTTCAACACTGTTGCAGCGGACTATTCGGGCCTGAATCAACGATTGCAAGATGACCATCTACCAGACGCGGCATGTGACACCAGGAATAGAATTGACATCTCGATCGCGAGATTTCATGACTTGATCAAGCTGGCTGTGTTTCTCTGGAGGAACTCTTCCGATTTCAATAAGAACACACAGAAAATTGGATTTGAATACACCACCAGTTGAGCCATGGTCTGGTATCCACCCAGCACCCAAATTTCTCATGTGGTACTTCAGTCCACCTTGCGGGGTTGTGTGGAAATAGTAGCCCCAGTGAAAGTCGTCCGATCGGGGTGGATCTGTTCGTATATAGAGGACAATGTATAGGACGTTGAGATGCAGCCTAGCCAGTGCGTCTTCTTGCTCTTTTTTAACTGCAAGAGCTCTTTCACGGGCACTCACTGTGCGGCTAGCTGTACCAGGAGCGGAGGCCGTCGACATTTTGGATGATGGCGTAGATGATTCTATCGGGCAGTATCGGGTGATAGGAGAGAATACGGAGAGTTCTGTTTGGAAAGTTCTGTTCTTGTAGACGAGGAAGGGGAATCGTAAAGTATTTATGTCATGCTTACCCAAAAAATCATATTTTCGCCTTGTGACGGGCCACTTTTGCCGCTAAGACCTATGTGATAGTATATTCCCTCAAACTCGCTCAATCTCGGCGCGTATACTGATGTGACAAAATTCGACGGCACCTTAGCCTCGAATGGGTAGTAGCAAGTGTGCTCGGCGCGTACTATACACGGGCGTTAGTGGATAGGCATTGGCGACGCAAAACCGGTCAAAAAGGAGGGCGCTACATTCGACCTATATCCGACCAAGCTATCACCAAAATATCACCAACTGCCCCCTAACTGGTGCTTTGTTTGCGTAAACTTCTCTCTCCAAGTCATGACTACATAAGATGGTCAAGAAATCTTAGATCACAATTTCTCACTATGAATTATCAAACACGACACGAAACACGAGCAAATATTTCTCGAATAGATAATGCCATCACTGCATAGAAGAGGTCGGCAATCTTATGGGCAACATCATGCAAATGCAGGAGAATTGGATCTAATACTTCTATCGGAGTATCGCGGACCCGGAAAATTGGCTCACGGTTTTCCTTGTCCGAGCCCTCATCGCTAGAAGGTAGGGACTGAGCAGCATGCGGAGGAGGCGGAGACGGGGTCTACCTAACCGTGTCAGAAGAAGCCCTTCTTTCATGAATATAGATTTGATGATTGAGAACATATATCTACCTCTTCAATAAAGGAGGGGGCTCGCTGCTTCGCGTTTCCTCTGGATCTAACAGGCATTTACAAGGGTAGAGGGTCTTGGACACATATGAGATTCCGTCCAGCGTAGGCCGTAAAAGCGCAGAAGAATATGCTGCACTCTACATTAAATAGCCAGACGAAGAGTTCATATCCGCATACAACGTAGGAAAATTTGGAACCACGGTGCTTATTCAGTCCTTGGCGCGAAAAGCGCCTAGTGAGAGGCTCTTACCACGTATTGTCGCAGCATTACGCACTACTGTACGTAGTCAAGTGGGATATGAACGGGGCAATAATATCAGAGGTCCTCGCGCAGAGCTTGTCTTGTGAATGTTTTGCATGTATAAAAATGTAATCACTGGGAATAATTTTGCCAGGAGATCTTCGGTTACTGAAAACCACTGTGCAAGGGCTTATTTACATCCAGGCAGAACTGGTGGACAGTGTGACGGGCCAGGGCCCGGTAATACACCATGTGCCATGGCCTCTTCAAATATAGTCTTGGCAGGCGATTTCGAGCGATTCTATCACGAGGTTCTAGAGGATTCTGTGAAGGGCTGTAGCGGAATTGATTCAATTGCATTGGGCCGACATGCTGTCTATAACAATCTTGAGGAAAGAAAGAAGAAGAGAGAGGAGTCGGTTGTGGTCCTTAAGAGTGTTGGCCCCGTCTCGGATAGAACCCTCTAGAACCTCGTAATAGAATCGCTCAGAATCCTTCTGCCAAGACGATATCCGAAAGGCCATGCATGGCACATGGTTTACCACCGGGCTCTGGCCCGGACCGCGACCACCCCTGTCCTTTCTTCTTTCTTTCCTCGAGATTGTTGTAAATTGCATGTGGCCTAGTATAATTGAATCAATTCTGCTATAGCCCTTCACACGGGAGAGTGAAGTGTGTCGTCGACATGAAACGGGCTCTGTGTCATTTCTAACAAGTACTCATAATCCTTGGACCAATCATATTAGCTTATCTTAAAAACCACGTGTCGTCGGCGGGCTGGCAGCGAATGAAACTCGCAATAGGTGATACAAGCAATGAAATAGAGAGATATCATTGCGTACCAGGGTTAGCTCTCTACAGCATAAGCGCAGCTAGAGGGAATACCCATGGGACCCGTATGGGTATTTGGGTATGGGCGAAAAATATGTGTTTGGGTCGAAATTTTTTAGCCGTGGGTACCCATGGGTATTCCCATGGGTATCGTATTTTGGCCGTGGGTCCCATGGGTAGCCCAGATTCTCAAAACGGAAGGTATTTTATAGTATTTGTATGGTTATATCGCTGATCTCAGGTAATCTTAGGTTTTATATAGTAATCATATCTATTTATAGGCTATTCAACCTATATAGTTAATAATATTAATGATATACTAATTATATCATGATGTTAGAAATAAGGCTTGAAATACAACCTTATCAAATACTTTCGGGTACTTCAAAAAGTTCGGGTTACCTACCCGCAAATATATACATTGTAGTGGGGAATCTGGTTACATGTACTTGAAGGTTGATATTCCGTAGCGGAGATGCTTAGTAGTGAGAGGTGCCTGATCAACGGTTTGGATTGAGGCTTCAGGACGGTCTTTACAGTCAGATTCCTGACACTTGCAATGTCACACTCTTTTTGATTCCTGCCCTTGGTTCCTGACATCGGATTGTACGGTTACCTTGGAGGATTTCGGGACTGGCTTGCTTGTGGTTTTGGTTTGGTTCCTCTATGACTCGACCTGTCTGGCGAGATCAGACTGCCTTGAGCATTCCCCTCTTCAATATCTACCCGACCGGGACAGTCAACCTCACAGAAAGATAAATTACTACACAAAAGCTTTATAGAATTTATTCAAACTTTATATAATAGTAGTTGTATCTAGTTTTACTAAGGGTATTAAATTTAATACCAAAATTACGGCTTAATATATAGCAACAACATCAATATTACGCCCCAGGGCGAGTGACGGTAAGGACCACACGTGACCCACCCGGTATATACTCCAAGGGAGAGTACGCTTACCTCTGTCCCTGTCCGCCTAGCGCCACACGCTTCGGGGTGCTCTAGTCTTTACGGTTAGACATCACGCAATCATTCCAAGGGACGTCGTGGAAAATCAAAATGACATACCTGGCTGATCTGAGTACTTAAGTCCCGCTTTAAGGAAAAGAATCCTTGCACGAGGCAAACTGAAGTGCTACCGCTAACGGAACTTGTGGCTAGAGGGGTCGGAGTGGATCTTTGAGATGGTATTTATAGATGCGAACCATTCTTGACCATCGTAGTCTTTGACTACATCCTCATTTTTGAACAGGTTAATGGAAAATTGGACGGGTACTGTAAATAGAGTATCTCCGCCGAATAAATTGAGGCCGAGTAAATAATTACTTACACCTAAAACAACATCCCTTACCCCCAATCAAAGCTGGTGTTGGGTGTCCCATGGATTATACCCGCTGCTTTGATTAGAGCAATGATGTCACTCAGCCTTATGGCCTAATGTGTGCTTAAGAATGGACTTAATATTGAACAACACTATAGTAAGGTCTGCTTTTTTAGCTCGTCCTATAGAGACTGAGACTGCTCTGATAAAGAACACATTGCCGCTAGCACAAGCCCACTCGAACACTACCAGTTCAGTATAAAACTGGTTCGGTGAAGCTGGATGTTGACATTAAAAGATGAGGCACAGGATCCGTTATAGCTAAGATACCGGCCTTTGGCACGAAGAATATGGGCAAAAATGTTAAAAATAGAGATAGGCTAGGTAGGAAAATGAAGCTCAAATTATTATTACTCTGAATAAACAACTTATCCTAACTGACAATGCCCCGTGGTAATTTTTGTGTCAAAATGGGGCTCGGGAGACCGCAGAAAAAGGAGACATGGAAACTAAGAACCCGCGGATGTTTATTGGAAGCCTCCATCAACCAACACTACCAATGTCAGAGACACTCAAGCTCCTAGGGTCGACTTGCACGTTCTTGAAGCTCGTAGAGAGCATTGTGTAAGCTCATTGACTCCGAATATCCATCACGTGCGCTCCAGGCAATCCCAGAGGCATTTGAGGGCCCAAAGCCCCGCTTTTAACCTTCAAGAACGGCTTCGTGGTCCAGGAGCAGTATAGTCACCGGGACTACCCAACACGTATCTTAACACGATGTCGCTGTGAAAGCAAGGAGTGTATCCGTACATGAAGCAGCCCAAAGTTTCTTTATCCACATTTTGAAGGAATTATGTCCCAGGATCGACGGACGTGTTTCTGGAATCTTTACCTAGTGTTTTAGGCTCAATATAGCTCCCAGGATGGATGTTGACGTTCTCAGAGACAGATTTTGCACTCCTAGACAAGCTAACACGTATTCCTAGAAGTAATTTTGCGTATTCTAGGAACGAATTTTTTTTTATGGGTCTACTAAGCTTTATTTCCGCGGAAGACCTGAAACTATCCACATTAGATTAGTTCTAAAGGTTGTCAATTGTCAATCGATTACTTTGTGTCTACCTTAGGATGACTAGTGCCTGCTCTGGGAACTTTACCCAGAGTCCTAGGATCAGTATAGCTCCCAAGAGGGTCGGTTCATGTTCGACAGACTTTGGTACTCTTAGGAAGCTAACCCGCGATCCCGAGAGGTATTTAAGAGACCACCACCATATATAACGTTCACGTTCACCTTTACCCCATAACTGATCAGCCCCATCTAGCAGAACAGCAGCTTTGTGCTTGGAATATCAAACATTTTGCGGTATCTGAGTTGAGAAGATTGACTTTAAAATATGCAATGGCCATTTTCTGCTTGAGTACTGTGTTCACGAAGCTAAACAACCAATGGTTTTCTCAGTTTGCACCTAACGCCATGTCCGATGTGGTTCTAACTGTCTCAAATGGATTAACTAGAGCCAGTTCCATTGTTGTCGACGAGAATGACAGCGAAAGCCAGACGAAGATAACTCGGAAGCCGATACAGTTCGCATGATACTCCAGATTACGAAAGATGGGCCAGAGAAAATTGTCCCATCAAATCACCGAATTTGGTCCTTAGGGAATCTACTCCGGGTTCAACATTTCTGAGATACCGCAGCTGCCGGAAATTTGACTATACTCAAATTACTCAAATAGGTTCTCCTATAGCGCGAGAAGAGTCAAAAAACACAGGAGATTTCAAGAAGGGTACGTGGATGATTTCCAGGTCATAACCGAGAGGGATTTTTAGCAACACAATGTTATTCCAAGTACGTAGAAAATTTATGTTTGAAAATGACTTCAGATGCATTATATGCGACGCATGTTCAAGTTAGCCGCTTTTCACCGAGTCCATTTGTCAATCAAAGCAAATCGACCATAGAGGCCAGCATGAAATCCTTGCATACAAATATCCCGGCCAAGCGCAAAATGAGGAGCGAATTACGGGCTAATATTTCGAAACGACGATCAATACGTATAAAGCTGAAAGAGAGAATGCAGTGATGAGACTGGCAGATTCCATCTTCAAAGAGATCGTCCGCGTGTTACTATGGATATCGAATACGGCGTAGGAGCTATTGATATATGATTGATTCTCTGTTACTCCTTTCTCTACTTTGGAGTAGAGTGGTAGGGACCACAACAATTGTGACGAAACCAGAAAATAAAATAGGACGCTTCAATTTCGTGTATTGCAAGAAGCGCAGCGGAAATTCTCATCTAGATACTCCCCACTTATTAATCTTACGTTAAAATCTTTCGCACAATGCCGACAGCGCCGAGAAGCGTTGATCTTCTGAACCAACGCTCGCAGAACGTCATATTCGTTAGGCCGTTTCACCATCTCGTTGCTGATTAATCTCGCAATAACGAGGGACTCAAGACATCCAAAAGAATCCAAGTTGTGTACTATCTCCGGGTCTTTGATAAGGTCGAAGACATGCCTCGATATGACGTCTGCAATCACTTCCCGAAGAGTTGATTCATGTGGTGGTACTGACATCATGACCTTTTGCACGACTTCGTGAAACATTGGAGAGCTGCAATTTGTGTTCGCCCATCGTGAAAACTTCAGGGTAGCCAGAGATTTCAATGGAAGGATTGCGTACTTATCAGCAGCGATGAATACTTCAATGTTGTTGAAAGCAGCTTGGTTGGCTGGCTCTGAGATTTCTGGCTTGTTTTCCGAAAGAGATGAACCAGATTCATGGTCACAAATGGGAAGCGCCGATATGGGTTGTTGATATTGAATTATGTGCCCATCCTCACTATACTCCCTGAGATAGAGAAAAGATAGAACACGCTCCATGGTCTCTGGGGTGTCGTCTTCGATATTGACAGCTTTCTCAATCGATTCCCAAAAAGTAAGTAAGCGACCGAAAATATCTGCCGTTTCCTGTCAAAATATACCTTGAAGCCATCGCACATCGCGCTATAGAAATAGCTTGACTGAGTACACACAATAGCTTGGTGAACCTTGAAAGTAATTCCTTGGCAAAGAATCTTCATGTCAAAGAACCGGCCTCGTAGAAGTAAGTCTCGCATCACGTCCTTGAGTTCAGACGTGGTTGATGTCGCGTCCATTGGCATTGGATCTCGCACGAGGAAAAGATTTAAGATAGAAACCTGGATATAATGATTGAAGCTGGGTCCCGGCACACGTTTTACGTGGACAAATAATATATACTAAACAAGGCAAAGAGCTAGTTCAGTGTGGCAATGACGCGTAGACTGTCGAGTGATGAAGATACGGGGATCCTAATACTGAGATCCAGTATTTGATGTTACAGCACGCTATACATTGATTTCCAACTGCTGTAATTGTGAAACAGCGCTTCTCAACCTGTGGTTTAACACACAGGAGAGAAGCGACTCTACAGTATAGTCTTACCAAACATACCTGCCGTAAGCACGCCGGTTCTTGGGACTCCATTGTGGGCCCAGGATCCAGATAAGCTAGTCATAAAAGGCATTCTTAACAGCCACACCCGCGCATGTAGATAAAGCAGAGGCATAAACAAAGGAATATGATTTAATTAAACGAATTTCCGGTATTGGTAATGTATTCAGACTACAGCGCTAAAGAGAGTAAGGGTGGTCATTAAAACAGACACCGCCCCAAATGCATAACTGCCTGCCGTTAGCCCGGTACTGATACTCTGTCCAGCTGCAGACCCAATTGCTGTGACGACTATGGAAATGACTATAGCAAATCCAATAATAGTGAGTAGACGAGAAAAGTCCCATCCGTCAACCAACAATAAAGCAGGAATACTTTCTCCGGGAAAAGTGTCCCCATAAGAAACGGCAGCGTCAAGGTAATGGCACGTTCTCAGGCATCTAACAGGTTGTCAGCCTTCCAATACATCACGGAAACTAGCAATCAATACTATTTATATATTCCCGGTCGAATTAGTAATAGACTATTCTTGTCAAATGCGTCAAATTTTCAACAGTAACCTATTAGTGACTAGTTTCCTGGTCGACGAAAGGCTTCTGGGCTTTCTCAGCGCCCAGATTGTCCCCCGTTTACGTAAGAATCGGGCCTGCTTTGCTTTCTTTGATATATTGCGACCGCGGGGTGCCCATAACTATGTTCTGCAGTAAACTTAACATGAGAAGCAGATATGACCGGACTGATGGAAGCTGATAAAATACCGATCATGCTTGATATCTGATATGATTGTATCTGAATCCACAATATCGACCTGTATTACGCGATGCAAAGGGCGCATACGAAGAGACGGGGGAGTGAGGTCCCTGTTCAGAAATGCAATTCCCGGGCAACGCGTGATTCAGATTTCGTATTCGAGTCAAACAGGAATATCGTATTCGAATATTTGTAAGACGCGTAAACGCAAAGCTCTGTATTGGATTCCAGTACTGTAGCCATCACATTTTGTGACAATCACTATTGCATCCCATTTGACCGCTATACACGAAGTTACAGGGATTGTCTTGTGCAGACGGGTTGCGCTTGCGTTCTTGCCGAAGTAGGTGGATGACCATCCGCAGTAGCGTAGCGACAACAAGTGCAGCAATGCAATCCTGAAGGTTTACAGCGCAAAACATCTAAACACCAAGGATTTGAACCGCATAAACTTTTAATCGCTCCTTTTGGGTACCTTAGGTAGCTAGCTATGACCTTTCAGCTCTATTTCTGCAAAAGCACCTTTAATCGGTAAATAACATCATACGGCCTCTGGTTGAAGGTCATTCCATGGAATCTAATTGCTAGAGATTAAACACACGAGCGGCCGAAAGGGGATTGTAACCTTGAACCTGGCTGTAATCATTCTTTATGCCTCACTAAATCATAGCGTGCAAGTTCTGTAGGATACCTTGTATTAAAACTTCCAACACTTACAATATTTATCAAGGTTCCGCGTGCCAAGCGAGCTTACCCTCGGGCTTAAGGTTCTTGCACCGGACGCCAAGGGAACGATGCGATCAAGAATTGCATATCAACACAATGTAAAGCCTGCACCGCGACAATGTTAAGGTATATTGTCAAAGACCCTTAGCGAGTTCTTCGCAACTATAGTCTCTGTAAAAGAAACGAGAGTACTCAAAAAGAACATTTGTGTATATGGGGATTTTGGTTTTGTATCTTCCTGTTACTTGTATGTCACGCGAGGATCACCAGTGAATAGAACTTTCGTTTGCTTGATCGGGAGGAGCGGACTTCGGTGTAAAAAAGCTTTGGTAGCACTCAAATTTTGAGTGACCGTCAGTAGCTGGAGGCTAACCAGCCAGAAAAATGACTAACAGGCTTTTCGCGACGCATCTGTAGCAATGGACTTTAATGCCTCGGGCAAGTAGCGGAATGGAGCCACTAGTCGTCAAGTCTGATGAATTTGGTCGTGTGCGAATTGATCGCGCGTGATCATGATCGAGTATCTTTCTATCAAATTTGGCTCACTTCTCACGCGTATTTTACAGACCTCCCATATAGCAAAGCCTAATGCGGGTGAAAAGGGACGGTTATTAACTAGTTAACACAACTACTTCCAAGCTTAGTAATGTAACAGTGGTTGATAAAGGTCAGAGGTACTCTAGTCTTTCTACCTTCGGGATCCGACGGAATTAACATCCGTAACTCGAGGCTTCTTCTTAAAATGTAGATTATTGATATAGTTTCACAGAAAAGAGTATATCCGAAAGACCTGATTCGCGGGATGAAATTACTCTCGTGTTTAAAAAGACTATATCCCTCAATATCCATAAAAATAGATAATACATTGGTAGATTGACCTTGTAGCTTTTTAAGTAGGGCCGCATTTGGGATCCAATATCACCGGAATCGGGAGGTTTCCCACCTCGAGGGTGAATTTTGCAATAAAGGCCGCGAATAAAACCGTTGCATAACCTCTGTTACAGCGTGGTCACCCGATATGAGGGGTGACGAATGCGAGGCGACGCAGGACAATAACATACTTGTCTTTAAACCCCAACTAACCCACAGGTTGTCGCAGAATATGTAGGTATGTACCTCCTGAAGATTCTCAAATTCTTTGCTGCAATCAATGGCTCAACTCTCAGTTGTGGGATGGTGTTGAGTTCGGGGCCGGATCTAGGAGCACAAACGCTCGCTCATTCTGTCCTTATCAAACACATTCTATTGTGTGTGTGTTGACCCCTTGTGTTACGGTGTCTGGATTGCAGGTCAGAGAACCTGTTGGCTAGGCAGAGAGTCCAAGTCTGTGGGGCCTGAATTCCAAAGACTGAATCTTGGAGTCTTGGTTAGGACCCCACTGATTCCACGATAAACATATCAAGGTCCCGCTTGCCGAGTTCCCACATCTCCACATGGGCCCCATAGGGTTCTTTCCCTTAGGTGACGCGGGGGCGATTCCACCATGAATCGTCTCCCCATGCGACAGAAGCCTACGCCGTGACACCCTGGCTTGTGTCAGAACAGTCCAGACTCAGCCATATTCGGAGCCGCCGGTAATAGACGATTAGAAGATCTTATAAAAGTGTTAGTCACTCAATTCCCGGCACTAGTTAGCAATGAATTGTGTCATGCTATATCTTACGATTAGTACACTACGATTCATATATCTTGCACACTGATTCAAGGGCCTAAATCTGTGTCACACGCGGCCTAGCACAATGTCTTGGGACTGGTGCAACATGGACCTTCTCGGAACCTTTTTTAGGCCCCGGATTCGCAGTTTCCTGTAAACTGGAGATATTTGAGCTCAAATTTATGGAATCTCGTGGATTGGAGACGAGATAGCATTCGTCCCAAGAGAACACAAGCAATTACGGCTATTCAAAAAAACAAGGATCTTCTGTCTGGGTGCACCACTGAAGATATTCGGATATCTTTTTTTTTCCGAGATCGGTCCTATCACTACAAAGGCAGAGAAACCTTATCTTCCTCGCGCGAGCATTAGTTCATGAGACAGAAGTCATGCAATCCACAACCTGGTCATGTTTGGCTTTGAGATGTTGCCACATTGCTTCGTGAGAATCGAAACTTCGGTGATCTTTGGAACCGGAGCTACAGCCGTAGCAATACCATATGTGGTCATGTGAATCAAGCTCCCCAATGCGCCCGGGGCGTCTAATGAAGGTAGCATGAGAGCGACGAATATGCTCTATTGCCGCTTGCGTATCATAATGATTGATGTGTTCAACGCACTTGAAGAGTTCCATCTTCGAGTCTGAAGAAATATGTCGATTTTTCAAGGCCAGTGTTGGGAGTATTGAAACGTACTAGAGACTTCAAAGATGAGGTGAGGTCTTCTCTTGCTAGAAATGTAACCAAGCCAGAGTGGATCCGCTTCGAATATGACCTGTGAGGAGGAGAGAAAGTTGCACTCTTGAATTTCCGCTGCGCTCGAGCTACCACGCCATGGCTCTTAAGCATTTGCCGACCATGTTGACGGTTATCACTGTAAAACATCACAACTCAAATTTTTTTCGTTCTCTTATGATTGAGATCGTATGATGCGAGACGCGTACATTACCTCATAATTACGCAGGTAGGATGAACGTAAGTAATCTTACGAGCCTCTGAAGCTCCATTACTTTGAGGAATTCATCTCTTTTGCCTATTGTCATTCAATATAGTACAATCCAATAATAGCGAGCATCGTAATTTCGAAACACTGACTTTGATTTGTCCGTAAATACGTCACACTGGACAGAATATTCGGTCGCATTGGCTGTCACCATTATCTCATGCGATACTTTGTAGTGGCGAGGTGTTAGTGAAGGAAGTCACGCGAGGCGTGATCAATGTCTGTGCAGTTCAAGCATCGAGAATGCGCTATTTTGGAAACGGTAATTGCGCACAGAAGGTTTGCAACCCCCAGGAAAGGCATAGCTTCACGTATCTATTTCGGTAATCACGAATGTTTTGGGGGCACATTTAACCTTTAAAGAATCTGACGATCCCTCATCGGTTAAAATGCATCCCACGAAACCAACGCTTGGCACAAATGACGATTGTCCAATATCCCACGGTATGAAGAGTATGAAGAGTATCCGTAAATGATTTACCCTACACTGGCTTTGCATCAGATCCTCAAAACCGGCCCAGGAGAAAGAGGCCTCGTAACATAATTACACTA